CCCCCCCCCCTTCCCCTTTCACTTGTTTCCCTGAATCGTTCAAACTGCCGCCCGGTCGATAGAAAACACTTATCATTTATTTGTTTATGTTCACGTGTGTCCTGATAAGAAAGTACTTTCTTATCTTGTTTTTTCGCACGGCGCGAAAGTACTCTTTGCGGGAGAGCCGGCGGGAGCATATCCGCGTTTCTGCGAACTCGTCTGAGGCCCTCTTGAATCAAGCTTGTTTGTTAATCTTTTTTTAGGGGAGAGCGATAGGGAGTTTTCACACAATTACTACGTCTTAATTTGATGTCTTGCCCGAGATCTGGGTGTCTGACTGATAAATGAGTTAATCTGCGTATGATGTTCCACCAAGTTCGCGATTGTCAATGTTTTACCATACATTGCATGCGCAGTGATGCATTTCATTGAATGGGGAACATTGAAGATCGAGGGTCGCGTTCCTCTGCGCGTGGGTAGTAATTGTAGTATTTTAAATTACCGCGTGTGCGGCGCGCTCCTGTGTGTGTGTTTGTCCTTGATATGACTCATCTGTTGTTTTCAACAGAGCAGGCTTTAAATGTGCGACTTGGCAGCGTCGCTCATCTTTGTCTCTCTCCTCCAGCCTCCCCTCCCTCCTCGGTGTCACCTTCACCTGGCCATCGGCCCGCCCGTGCCCACCCATGCCCCTCCTATGTTTCTTATTTAAAGTACATTTTTCCTTGTTTCAAAAGTGAATTTGATCTTGTGTCAACATGTATACTTGAAACAATAAAAATCATTTTTCTAGGTGGGACGATGGGGGCGGTTTTGCCTACTCGCTGACAGAGTGGGTGGGTGAACCCGCCGTGCTTATGTGATGTGTTTGTTTAAAGAATATTTCATTCTTGATTTCCGTTTTAGGGCCTTATGTAACATCTCATAGTCGTACTCCTGCTGACTTATTAACAGAAATTTTTCTTTATTGCTATAAAAAATTCTTACAAACTAAGACATTTTAAAAATACTTTTTGTATGGGTTGCGGGGAGAAGGAGAAAACACGAGCATTGATTAGATTTACGGCTCCGTAGTTTGTCGCACTGACTGGTTTCAATCGCAAAGTGCTGCGTAAATTCCCAAGCTGCACTTCAACTTTTTGAAGTTTAAGTCTATTTTTTTGAATTCTCCATCGTGCTTGGATATACAGGGTGGGTGTTCTAAGCCGTATATTTTTCTAGGTATCTTGTATAGGATGCAGGTGGACGGAACGGTCGGATTGCAGACTTTGCACAGGGCCATAAGGCGCCTTGGTGAGAGTCGGTAGGCAAGCCCGCCCGCACACCTGCATGCGGTACAGTGTACCCAGAAAAATATACGTCTTAGCTTAGAACACCCACCACCCACCCCTGCCCCGTACCAAAAGTCTCTCTGCGTTTGTCCAGATCTTGTCCATGTCGGCATGGCCTGCTCACGCCGCTTGCTGTTGGCTCAGGTCGGGGAAGCCCTCGAGGGCTGTCGGGGAGGTCGGGTCCCCCCCACCCGCGCAGCCCGCGCAGCGACTGCGTGGCCTAGCGCTGGCCAGCTGGCTTCAATTACCATTAGGCCCCGGCGCCAGAGTCCTCTCACATGACATGAAACGGTCCCGCCGACCGCCCCGCCCCGCCCAGCTGGGGCCCGGGTCCGGGGCTGGGGCCCAGCGGGGTCGACGTCCTCGCCCAAGGGACGCTGCGATGAGGCTCACGGCCTGTCCTCGACGCGCACCCAGAAGCCGTTGGCGGGCGTGGGGGAGAACTGCTTAATGTTGAGCTTCATCTTGACGTCCGTCTTGTCGCCCACGCTAAAGACGAACTTCTCGAGCAGGCCGGCGAGGCACAGCTTCATCTCGAGGACGGCGAAGCGCTCGGCGATGCAGAAGCGCGGGCCCTCGCCGAACGGGAGGTACGCGTACGAGTTGCGCTGCTCCTTGGCCTCGTCCGTGAAGCGGTCCGGGTCGAAGCGGTCCGGCTCCGGGAAGTACTGCGGGTCGTGGCCCAGCTGCCACACGGGGATCTGCACCAGCACCCTGCTGTCGATGACCACGTCCGAGTCCGGGATCTGGAACGGGGGGGAAATGAAGTATAAAGTTGAGGGAACGAGAGCGAGGTCAGGGCAGGGCAGGGTGACTTACCTTGAACGTGTCGTTGGCCTGCCTCGTCAGGATCCCGACGGGCCCCCACTTGCGCAGCACCTCCCTCATGATCCTCTCGATCAGGTCCATGCCCCTGATGGCCTCGTACGTCATGCCGTCGTGCTTGGCCACCATGGCGCGCACCTCCGCGGCGGCCCGCTCCTGCAGCTCCGGGTTGAGCATGAGCTCGTGCAGCGCGAAGCCCACGCTGTTGGCGATGGCGTCGAGGCCGGCGATGAAGAAGAGGAATGCCTGGCCCGTCATGACGTTGTGGTTGAACTCGATGTGGTTGACGCGGTCCGTCTCGTGGCGGTCCGCCTCGCGCAGCTGCATCATCAGGTTGACGAAGTCGTTGCGCTCGATCTTGTTGGTCTCGCGGTACTCGACCGTGTCCTTCATGAGCTTGATGAAGAAGTTGGTCGTCTTGTCGAAGAGGCTCTTGAAGGGCATGAGCTTGATGAAGATGGGGTGGATGGAGACGAGGAAGAAGCGGATGATGAACAGAATGTTTCTGTTGAACACTTCGCGTGTCATTTTGTAGAACTCGTCAATCTCGCCCTTGAGCGAGTTGCACGAGATGCCGAAGGCGACCGAGCCGATGACGTCCGTGGCGTAGCGCAGCAACAAATCCTTCATCTCAATCTCGCCCTGCTCCTTGGACAAGCTGCTCACACGGGCAGTCAGCTCTTTGTTGATGTCCGTCATGAGCGGGACCATGAGCCTGAGTTTGCCGGAGGTGAAGGTGGGGCTGAGCTTGGAGCGCAGGTTCTTCCATCGTGGGCCGACCAGGTTGAACAGGTTGGCGCTGAGCGGGTCACCCTCCTCGTCGAAGGGCTGGCCGCGGCCCTGGAACGCGTTGAACTCCTTGGTCAGGATGGTCTTCACCAGGTCGGGGTCCAGGACCACGAGGACGGGCTGGCGCGCCTGGAACGTGCCGACGAAGCGCTCCTTGCCGCGGTACTTGTTGTACACCGGGTCGAGCAGGCTCCAGAAGGGCTTGCCGAAGGGCAGGCCGGCGCCGCGGTCGCCGAAGAAGCTGAAGGGGTTGTTGTACTTGACGCCGCGCTTCTCCCAGTAGTTGAAGTGCCACGAGATGTAGATCCAGATGCTGGCCAGCAGCGTGGCCAGCACGAGCAGGGCGGCGGTGAGCATCGCGGCGCGACCGGCTCGTCGGGCGGCTGGAGCGGAACTGGTCGGGCGGCGCCTCGCTGCTTCTCTGCGGCGGTCACCCCTCCTTCTCTTCGCTATATGTGCGTACACGGTACTTATGATTCGCGCCCATATGGGGTGATAGGAGCCTCGCAGGCAGAGATAAGATTCGAGTGCCCCCCCCCCCCTTTTCCTTTTTTCTGCACCACGCGCGGCTTTCCGTTTTTTGCCCATTTTTGGCAGTCACGACCAGACCGACTTTAGCCCAGCATCTTATCTCGACAGCAACGCGCCACCCTCACGTAGAGCGACACACGGTACACCTGGCGATCACGACCACTGCCTCCGCCCCCGCGAGAGCCCTCTCCTCCTCTGCCCCGGCTCTGCCTCGCGTGTTTCTCGCTGAGCCGGAAATAAGCCCTCCTCTATACTCCCGCGGTCTCGCCCGTGTCGCCTGCTCGCGGGCCTCGCGCTCCTCGTCCCGTGGCTTTGATCAGACCAGGGCGGGTACATGAGTCCCTGGTGGGGCGGAGGTCGATTAGACGGGGAAG